ATCTTCGACAGATGTTACAAACCCCAAAACAGTGCATGAACACACAAATGAAAGTAACACATGCTTTACACTTTACAAGATTTAAAAAAATTGTTAAAGTCTGAACGATAAATTTATTATTGTTATTACATCTCTTCATATTAAAAATTAGTATGAAAATGACTAAAATTCTATATAAACAAATATTGAAAAGACACCTACGCAAATATTGAGAATCTAAATGCTTTTTTTATGCTCTTATCTTATAATACTAGTTAAGGTAAAATGAATAAAGATGACGTACCTTCGTATCCACGAGACAGCAACACAACAACAGCAATAATAAAAGAACATTATAATATATTGCTTGAGATGATTTCATGTTTTGGTTATTTATCAAACTTTAATGACTATAAAGCATTTTATGGTTAATTGATTGTATTTATCATTCATAAACATCTGATTAATACTACAGATTCATTTCTCAATCCGATCAATCAATCTTACCAAATCTTACATTATCTGTTAAAAGACTATAATAATGTGAGAAAAGTATATACAAGTGACCTGTAAAGTATTAAATAAAGATTCCCAAAGATTCAGCAATAACTACAGCAATATATATCAAAGCATTTTAACAATCTATCCAGAATCTCAGAATCTGCTCAGTGAGGTAATTGAAAATGAGAGTGCCAAAACAATAGAAATTTCCCTCCAAAAAGAACATCTGACCAAAATGACTATTCATAAAGAAATGTATCCTTAATTAAGATTCTAAATATAGAAATCAAGGTAACATAGAAGAAACAGGTAACTAACAATATTAATAACATGAAATTCATTTCATTCAAATAAATTTAATCGAAATTCATTTCATTAAAATAAATTTAATCGAAATTCATTTCATTCAAATAAATTTAATCAATACAGTCATACAAATTTACAATTAAAAATATATATCAAATTCCACTCTACCACATATCTTATTTTTAAGTGCAGACACATTTTGGACAATATGCTAAACTAGTAGTGTAGCAGTAGACTGAAAAGTTGTTTGAGGGGGCAAACTTTTGAGGGTGACAAGCAAAACCAGATGCTTTTCTATTTTCTAAAAGTCTGCTTTTAGTTTTTTGGTGTGTGCAAAAAGTGGAGCACCTTGCACCAAGGATCTTATGCCAGTGCAGACATATATTTTTATATTGCCAATTGTTTTCAACTTGTAATTAGATATTAGATATTTCTATTTGTAGTCATATCTTAGCAAAGATAGAAACCACTTCTAGTTCAGGTCATCTTGGAAAAACGTATACTCAAATAGTACTGTGCCTTGGTACAATTTCTACATTCATTTGTATAATAATTTCACTTTAACACTACACAATAAATTCTTATTACATGAAATTAAAATACATTCTTAACGTAGCTCTCTCAAATGGTTATTTGTTAAGTATAAGTCACCTGTATATATTGCTATCTAAAGTTTAGCAGAACTCTGAAACTTTAGTTTTGCCTTTTTAACACAAAAAATCTTAATCCCGACATAGTAAACAGAAAGGCTCAAGTAATACTTTTACATCTTAACCATTTTCAAATTTCTAGTTTACTGCTTAGAATGAATTTACAAATAAGACATTTTGGCAATTTACGAACGTGGTAATATTGTATTAAAAAAAATACTACACCCCTTTAACATATGTGTTTGCTATAATATTAATATCATAGCATATCCTTCGAAATAATATTAAAATCACATAATAATCTTTCGGAGTAAAGTCAATTTGACTTCAATGTCAGGAATTTCAAAACAAGTAGAGATAGATTATTTCCAGTTACTTTCTATCTATGACAGGACATTCTACAATTTGAAAAAAACACACATATTAACCATAAATTGATGTAAAGTCGACCAACCATGCCTATATTTTCGATATATTATACCAAAAAAGCACAACAGGAAGCACTAGTAATGTTGTTTTTTTTTTGTTTTTTTTTTTTCTCGCCTGAACATTTGGTTTAGATTTGATGGTTTATCAGGCGTGGTTTGGTTGTACAGGGGGTAATCCTATCGATCTTAACTATTGGCAATTAATAGAACGAAACACAGTAGGTTAAAATTGATGATTGATGGCCAATAACTCCAAAATTAGAATTACATGTACGTTGTCGTGCTTGTCGTTTTTATTGTTATATATTATTTTCGCCATAAACACGTAAAATTAATAAAAAAATGATGTAACTTATGGATATTGTCAGTTTACCATTTTTGCTGTTTATAGTTTCTCTCTATCAATTAAAATTTTAATTTAAAAGGTCAAAAACGCAAAATAGGTTTAATCGTTATTGGAGGACAACAACTGATATAAGTAATCATCTGACAATTTCGGTCATTATGACTTATGATTGTTTCTAGATCTTGTATTGTTGATCCCCCCAAGGGTGACTGGGGAATAAAGTATGGTCACCATTGGTCTTCCTCCGACCGGCAGTAAAACCCTCGCCAAAGTGGGGCGTCCGTTTGGCTGTGCGGGATGTGCAAATTTGCAGCCACGTCCGGTCAGAATGGGGACGTTAAATCCGATGCCTCGTGTAAATAGAGTGCCGCGCTCTTTGCACGTTAAGAACCCTTGCAACAACTCTTTGAGGGGTCCGTAGGTGACCTGTTGCAAGGCTAAATTTCTGTCCCTATCCAATATACCCTCATTTCCCGTGGCAGTCTAAATTCCTCCAACCTTAATTCCTTAATATATTACAGAAGCTACCTATTGTATTTATTGTTAATTTGTTCTCGTCCTGAATATGCATGAAATATTTGCCACTGGAAGTTTAGCAACCAACAATCAATCAATTGTATTGTTAATAGTCTTTTGTATTACAGTTTTTCTCTGTCTACTAATATGTAAAAAGTTGCTGCAAGGATTTTGTAACATACTGAAAGCTAGGCATCGAATATAAAATGTCCGTTCCCACTGGAAATGGCTGCGTATTTATGCATCTTACACAGTCAACCGGACACAACCACTTTAGCAGGCTTGGAAAAATAGTAGGGGGATAACCATATTTCTATGGTCCAATCAACCCTTGTAGGAACTATAAGTTAAACTTAAATGCTTAGGCAAACTAATGACACATAAAACCATAACATAATAGGCCAATATACAGTTATCAAAATACACAGATGCCTATACAGGATTTAAAGCTATGAAAACCGTCTTATGTCTATATACTTAAGGTAATATTTGAAAATATGCCAAACTAGTGGCGTAGCAGCAGACCGAAAGGTATTGAGCGGGGGCAAACTTCTGAAGAGGATAAGTTAAACAAGAAGTTTTTCTCTAGTCGTAAAGTCTTACTTTCAATATTTGTGTGTGTGCTAAAAGTGAAGTACCTTGCCCCAAGGCTCCTACACCAGTGCTCCTACACCAGTGCATATATATATTTTTTTCTGTTGCAGATTCTTTCCAACTTGGAACTAGATATTTTTATTTTAGTCATAACTAAGCAAAGATAGTAACCTCTTCTAGTGCAGGTCATCAAGGAAAAAACGTTAACTCGAATAGTAATCATTGTGATATTTCAATTTATATTACACGAAAAGTATTACATGTATTATTACGGTTTATTTTATCTGCTTATGTCGTTTAATCATAAAACTCGGAACGATAAGTGTTGACTTGTAAAGGGCAATGTGTTGAATTTAGACGTGCAGAGTTATTAAAGGAGACATTACATATTAATTTTCTTTAAATTATTTTCGTGCATTTATCTTACAATGAATGATTAATCTTAAAAGAATATTTCGTTTTAACACGTGTTTGAGGAACCTCTCAAACTTAAAATACTGTATTTACTTCTAAAGGTTATATATTTTATATTTTCTTTTAACGATTTTCTTTTTTGAATATTACATAATTAATTTCAAATAAATCAAAAATAAACAGATTTATTAATCACTTGGACTTGACAGCTATCATTGTATATTTGCATGCAACATACTAGACAAATCTTAAAATAGATACCTAAATGTACATGTACCTGAATATTCTAAGAAAACTTATGCATTTAGGTCTATGATTGATTGACTGATTGTTGGTTGCTTAACGTCCAGTTGCAAATATTTCATGCATGTTCAGGACGAGAAAAAATTAATGATAAAAACAATGGGAAGGGCGTGCGATATAGGACGTCCGGGATGAAAGTCGTGGGAGAAATTCAGACTGCCACTGAGAAACGAGGGTATATTGGATAAGGACAGACATTTTCCTTTGCAACAGGCCACCAAAGGACCCGGCAAAGAGTTGTTATAAGGGTTCTTAACGTGCAGAGAGCGTGGCACTCTCTCTACACGAGTCATCGGGTTTAACGTCCCAATTCTGACCGGACGTAGCTGCGTACTTGTACATTCTGGACAGCCAAACGGACACCCCACTTTGTCAAGGGTTGTACTGCCGGATGGAAGAAGACCCTTAGTGACCATATTTCTATTCCCCAGTCACCCTTGGTGTTTTTAGGTCTGTGTGGTTGGAAGTTATCTAACAAGCTGTTTAAAAATAATTTTGGAAAAGGTTTATTATAAAAAAAAAAACCCATTGGCCGGATTTTCCCTTTTTGTTTTCAGGTCTAAAAATGTCTATATTAACTTATCATTGAATTTTTCCATTTGATAAAAGGAACTTTTCTTCTACCGTCGTGTTGCTTATGTAAGTACCAACCGGATGATTCATAATCATAAGTTTATCATTGAATTTTTCCAATTTATAAAAGGAACATTTCTTCTACCGTCGTGTTGCTTATGTACGTACCAACCCGATGATTCATAATCCTAAGTTTTGGATTTTGCCAAATAAATCTAGGCAAAATCTGAAAGTCAAGTATATACATATGTTTTAATACACAAATGTATCCATGATACGTTCCTAGATTTCACTTCCTTTTTTTAGAAAGTTAATCGTTACATTGCGTGACAGAGGTATAGTATTTCATTCCCAACACAAGATTATATTTCGTTTTAATATATATCAAAACCACATTCTAGAGTACCTGGTTACTGAGTGACTGTCTTGTCAACCGGTATGTATCACCAAATTTTTATTATTTATTGTGTATCTATTTATATATTGTTTGCAATTGTCTGTTCATCCTTTCTACTAGACCTTAAAGTTTGTAATCCATTTTCCATGGACAACCTTTTAATTACTGGTTTACCAGGCTGGTATAAAATGTAATGTGGCTATTGAAGCTATGATGCGTTTGACCTAAACTGCCTCCATTTCAACAAAGAATAGACGCCATCAGAAACAATCTTTTATTCTGGTTGGCCAATTCTTTTGAGGCTATGATGCGATATGACAAAATTGAGGATTTGAAGGCCCTTGAAACACAATTGACATTTTTTATTAATCGGATGTCAGAAATAGTGGATTTGATAGCATATAACTCCTATTTAACTTCTCTAAAATCACATGTATAATCAACTTTTTCTCTGAAACTAACGTATTAATGTAAAGCATTCTTAACAAATAATGGCAAATAGAAGTCCTGTGCAAACGATCCTTACTAAAACTCTATGACGATTCTTATTATCGACTTCTAAACAATAGCGCGATCAATGTAAATCAAACTGCAAAGGTTTAAAGTACATGTGAAAATATAGTCTGGAAATAATCATCGTGTAGTTCCAGTCGATGGAAAACATTGATGCCACTTGAAATCACCTTTGCAGTTTATTATTTACCAATTTAGGAAAATGCTTTCTCCGAAAGAACCAAACGAAATTGCTTTGACAAACAGGGACTTGAAAGGCTCTCTAATATTGTTGTCTATTAAATTTTCGATCAAGTGGTAAATGTTGTGACATTAATAACATAATAGTAACAATTGAAAACTAAAAGTGAATCAGATGTTACATTCTTTTCTGGAACTGAACTTGGAAGGGATGATATGTTATAAGGTTATCTGTTTGAATCAAAACCTAACAAGTCCTTGAATCATAATTTGTCAAATAATAAATTTGCGATTAAAGGTTATACTTGCTAGGTGGACATTATTTTTTTTTTACTTAAACTAGTTGGCTTATAACCATGCATAAATATAAACATAAACAATAAAAAAAATATAAGTAGAGTGCGCATGTTTGTTTCACCCACGGAAAACTAAATGTTTTATCAGATCATGTAATTATTTGCTAAATCTGAACATTAAACAATGTTTGGTATCACAGTTATCTCCAATTACACAGTTCTTAGAAATCGTCAAATTAGTAACATGACTATTTCAAATATTGCATGAACAAACTATGTAATTTGACAGGAGATGTTTTAGAATATACAACGAAGTAGATATAATCACAATCGAAGTATTAGGTGTGGGAACATTATTTCTGTTTATTACACTTGATATTTAATTGTCAGCTAGTTTTTAGTTTAAATAGTTGGATTTCGTTTTAATTGATTTTTAAGTTGCGGTTTTTTGTTTATGTAAGCGTAACGTTCTACAGTGTCATATTGGTCTACAGATTACAATTTTTCAATGGAATCATCTTGAATTAACCATTACAAATGGCAAGCAAATTTCAATAGTTGATAAGATGATCATAACAAAACGTTTAACGTAAAAAATAATAATAACAAATACCGGGAAGTTAATAGAGCAGAACGTTAACCCGAGAAAAATATGATCCACGTTGCAAAGCTATATGATCAATAAAGATAACTGATAAGTTATGCATGAAAAAATTATTCATTAACCAAAAAGAAAATTACATATTGGAAAAAGTCAATATGATAAATTACCCCAGGAATAGTTTACCGTTAGTTTAGCTGAATTTTGTCCTCAACATTCTTTATTTTCGTTTTTTTTTTTTTTTTTTTTTTTTTTTTTTTATTCGAGCTTCACTGATGAGTCGTCCGTCAGGCGTACATAATTTAAGACTGTTTATCGAAGCGCTCTGAAGACAATGACATATCTTATTCCTATGTGGATCTATCAAACATGTCATAACTTAGGAAAAGTCATAAATCGCCAGAAGGTTAGGTTACATGCAGTCTTTGGTCAAAAGTGTTTCCCCTTTCGGAAATTCACCTATTATTTCATATCAAAACACTAATCTAATAAAAATTCTACTTAAGTTATTTCAAGTCCGAACTAAATGAAATGTTTTTCATTTAATACAAAACTGTCTGCAGTTTCTTGGAATAATTATGAATTATATTTATGATTTATATTTATAGGAAAATTGCTGTTTAAAGACAAATTTGAATTATTGCACTAAAAAATCATTTGGCTCTATAGGAAAAAATACACTTAATTTCAATATTTGGCAACTTTGTATACAAATAATGATTTCTCAGTTATGACATGTCATAAAAATATTTCACAAAAACCATAAAATGTATTTATATTTGTGAGTTTAACAGTAAAGAATTCATCAAAATCAAACCTCAAATTAGTTTTTGACTTTGTTTTTTAAAAATGTGTTTTTATATGAAATAATAGGGAAATTTGGAATAGGTGAAACACTTTGACTTAAGACTGTGTTTAGATGTCGGAAAGTGGTCTTAGGATGGTTTTAACTAAAGGATATATTCTATGATAGGTTGTTAATAATTTACGACCGCCGCCTATAGGGCAGAACAAATATTTTTTGTAAACATAGACCACTTGGTGAATATATTCCATTTTTCCCAAATATTTATTTTTGTATACTAATTTTTATTTAGTAAATAATCTTTAATATTTTAACCTTTTTTCACTTATTTAATGTGTTCCTGCTCTTATCCCAAAGATATTATAATAACAGTGCTATATATATGATGCCCACATGAAAAATAAAAATAGAGGGGCATCATATTTAAATAAATCATATGAAATGAATGAAAATAGATTAGAATAATAAAGAATATGTACTTAAAAAACAAAAACAAGATTGAGAAAGGGGGGGGGGGGTCCACTCCCCAAGGGCCTGTGATCTGTAATTGAATAATTCGTGTACTCCGTATTTATAGGAAAGATGCACGAGATTTGCCTTTATTTTTAAAACCGTGACACTTCGAATCAAACTCACAAATATACATGACATTTTTACCGATTATATTTATGTGTCACAATGTAACAAATAATTTGGTCAGTTCTTATATAAAATGTAGTTACAATTTTCGTTTTTGTATGATAAAGTTTGAATGTACAATTATTAGATAAATGGTATATTTATTATCTTTATGATAATAATAATGATAATAATAATTTAAATTTTTTAATCTTATAATTTTTACTACTGGTAAAAATCAATGCATTATTATATATTTTTAGTTTTTAATATCTTACTTTCTCTACGCTAGCACTTAGGACAGCGTTAATGACATCCTAGCTAAAAGAGTCCTAAGATAGTTTCAATGTGCATGCTGAGACAATTCGCAAGTCGGTCCTAAGATTATCATAGTTTATTCCTAAGATAGGTCTTAGGACAGCTTCGATCAACAGGCCCTTGGTATATATGATGAGTTTAACATGTTAATTATGAGCAAAATGAGGTTGACCATAGGAAAGCTAGTTTTATTTATTACATGTATGTACTTATCTTATAAAAAATGTTCAATATTTTTTTGGCAGTCAGCAGTGCAACAAAACTCGATTAATTACTAGCATTATCATTTATATGTTTATTGACTTGTTGATTTATTTTGAGAATATTCCAATTTTTTCAATCTGTGTAGAGAAAAACGTATAAATAGCAAATGAACGGATTTTCCCCCATTTGTTATATTCCTTATTTAAGAAAATAAACTTGTCAATGTTATACTGTGAATCAGCAGTGTAATAAAACTCAATTTTGATAAATCTGATTTCAAAATTATTTGAGTTTCAATTCAGTTAAAATATATCAGTACCCAAGGGTTTCATCAGCTTAGTAGGCAGCCCTACGGTACTGACACGGTTTATAACAAATCATTCTAAAATATCTGTTTATAAATTTAGAAATTATTACAAAACTAAGACTTTAACTCCCTTACTCAAAGTTGACCTTAGATGGATTTGGCTTATATTTTTATGTCCTTTTTGGTTACAAAGCTCTTCAACTGTTTCGGCACTTATACATCCTTGGCTTTCAAATATTTGGCTATGAGCGTTCCTGATGAATTTAAATCTAGAAAAGCGCTTCGGACGCAAAAAACTTTTGTATCGAATGACGTCTCATATCAAAATAAATTAACGTATATTCGAAGGACATGTGATATCTTTATCTTCCACTACATTTCGGTGGTGGTGAAGGATGTCCTTATGTTTTTATAAATACTCAAAATTAGCTAAAAACTGGACAAAATTGGAAAGTAAGCCATCTTAAGGCATTTATAATTCGTTCCAATGTTCGAAAATACACCAAGGTCTAGTGCATAATAGCATTAAGATAATGTTAATTTTATTACATATTAAAGGAATTTTAGAAAATTGCCCAAGTGTGAAATGAATTCAGGGAAAATTGGCCCATCTTCTTTCATTAACAATATTGTTTTTTCTAGTGTTAAACTCTTGCGGCATGTATGCACAAAATTCATATGCAAGAACAGTTATGTTCATGTACGATGAATGAAATGCTTCTATTTGTGCATCTCCTTTATCCAGTTAAAACTTCGAAAAGACAAATGAGTCAAACTGTTTACCACGAGTGCATCTATATGAGCTGTTTACAAAAGTTTGTCTTAGAAGTGTTAGGGTTCAATATATATATAGGTATGATACAACGATACATTTGTCGAACAATTGAATACAAATTGAAAAATGCGCATTTTTACAAAATGTTTTTTTTCAATCTCAGAGTGATCCATTAGTTAATTATTGGCAAATTTTGACTGTTTTGCTTTGCCTTTCTCGTGTTTATATGACTTAGAAATGTCATAAGTATCTTCATGCAAAGTAATCTTGAATGAAGTTGGCTATGCTTTTATGTCTTTTTTGATAATATACCTCCTCACACTTTTACGAAATTATACATCCCAGTCTTTCAATGTAAACCCAGAAATGTGCCTAGGACACAAGAAATCTTAAAGTGTTATTTGCATTATGAAAAAAATACATTTTGAAAATGCAAATTGTTTTGAAGTGTGGGGGAAGAAATTAGTAAAAGGTGACTCAAGGTTAATTTGCCATTTTTTTTATTTCTAATTTTTTTTTTTTTTTTTTTATTTCTTTCAACATTTACTCAGATTTACAGTATTACTGTTTAATGTTTATAGTTTTACAACATTATGGCATGTGATCAAATTTTAAACTGCTATTTGTACGGATATTTTATAAAATTTTGAAAATTTATACGCAAGAAAGACATACATACTTTAGCAAACACACCAAAACTTTAATCTGAAGTAAAGGTAAGTATTGTCGTTCAGATACAAATGTATATTAAAAAGCAATGATCAGCACTGAGTATCCTTTTCATGTAATGGATATTTGTTAAAGAACTGAATTTATTTTTAAAGTTTCATGTTCTTATTCATTCTCTAAACTATTCAAGTTCCAGTAGGCTTTAAAAAATCGTATTTTGAATCTATGTGTTAATACAAGGAAAATTTGGTCATAAATCTTTTCAAATTACAAATATTAAATTTCAATATGTAAATAATTTTTGAAAAAAAGGTTAAAATTGTCATTGTCTATCAACTGACAAACTACTTACAGTCTTGTATGGTTTAAAAGATCGTCTTTATTATGATGATATTTGCCTGTAACACTATAAACTTTATACTTCATTTGTTCTTATTTCTTGGCATCTCATTTAACTAACTAGTCTCAGGTAAAGAAGTAGGGACAATGCGACCGTTATTCGGCTCAATTAATAGTTATTACAGTACAGGGTGCTTAGACATTTAAAAAAAAAAACACATTTAATGAATTACTATGACAAGACATGAAGCATTTTTATAATTTGTAAAATTTCCTCATTTTTTTTATTTTACATCAACTTTTAAGTATGTGTTAGGTTTTAAAAAGCTTGTAAAAAATCATGTTTTTGTTTTTTGGCTGCGCACACAGTTTCGTCATAGGACACATGCATGGAAACTTTTTAACTTTCAACAGTATTACTCGTGGTTTATTTTTTTTATGAAAAAAGAAATTATTAGTATGACATTTTAACGTCATAACATAAACAATCTTGTAGAATACGTTTATATTTCATGCTCTTATGCTTTTGCCAAATTATGTGCGCATTTGAATACTTCTCAAAAATTTTATTTTCATCTGCCTAACACGGGGTTTTATGCCCGTTTTCCTTATTTTGTTATATTGTTAGTATCGGCACGAATTAAAATCTTCCCATACTGTAAAGGATCTGATCTTTTGATGAAGACCGCATGTTCCTCTTAATGTATTTCGGATTTTTGTCTGCGTCGGGATGTTTCCTGAAAGACTAATATCCCTTTGTTCTATGACATACTGTAAGGGAAAGTGTGTTTTCTGAGTACATTTTGCTTTACTTTTTTCCCAGAGTTCAATGACAAAATGATGCTGACATTACATTTCGTTTTGCTTCTACTCATCACGGAGGACGTGATCGGTCTTCCCTGTTTAACCAATGAGTCAAAAGAGGATTTCGATAAATCCAGAAAAGCCCTAACAGTGGTACAAAGCGATATTGGAAAAGTTGTCAATACACTTGAGAGTAACCATCAACAGACTATCAAAACATTAGAGTCAGCACTAAAACAAACTGTTTCAATCATGGAAAATAATGTTAAAAAGACAACTGATGTTTTAAAGAACAACCTCGGGACATTTAAAACTACGCTGAACAGCATGGGTCAGAAAATAAAGAAACTAGATACTGATTTTAAAGTGTTGGGAAAAGATTTTAGAAGTAAGTTGATTGAAATTTTATGGAGTAGATAACCTTCGCTGTTTTTGGCTAAATCTTTCGGAAATGTGGGGTTTCAAAACCTTTTAACTTCGTATTTTATTTGGCATTCTTTAATTTTTTATTCGAGCGTTACTGATTAGTCTTTTGAAGACGAAACGCACGTATGGCGTACAAAATTTTAAGCCTGGTATCTATGATGAATTTATGGTATAATATTGTGGCAAATTCTTACCGCGTCGTATAAGTCGTCGTTGCTTTTTCGTTACTTTTCATCCTTTCCATGATGGTTATATCCGTTGGCTCATATTGGAGTGCACATTTTTCAATTGTTTTATTTGTCCGTTTTTGCAATGACGTCTCTTGTTTCGATAGCGTATTCTTTTCATTATTTCAAACTTTAAATATAGTTAGTGAGACAGATATAATTTGTTTAGAAAAACCTTTACAAATTTAACTACAAATATAGGAATTAACCATGAAAGTATTATTTCATTTAGGGGAATTGTATTCAATAAATTAGCATTAAACATGGCCATTTAAGCCGATTTATCCTTTTTCTGACCTGTTGATTTTTTTTTTATTTAATCAACGTGTGGTTTGTTTGATCTTAGTTCTTCATTGGTCAAAATTCAATTATGACGTCAAATGTTCTTGCTTATTATATAAGACTTTATCGCCAGAAATCGTGCAATACAATTTTTCGTCAATCTCGACAGTTAGATTTTAATATATAAAGCGTTCGGCGAGCCGTACATTTTAAAATTTTAAAATTGGACTATTTTGAAATACAGAAATATCGTATAACACTGAAGCAAAACATAATTTTTTATTTAGTTTGATTAATTTTAATAATTTTGTAATTAAAGTGTCTATTAACTTACTTTAAGCAATGCACATACACTTTTATTACATGTAATTGAAGGAACCTGGCTATTTTTTGTTGAACTTAAATAAGTTTTATCGTAATGTTTTCTATAGAGAGCTGAATAAACTGTACGGACACGAGTCTGCTTTTGAAGACGTCTTTTTCACATTTAAATTTGTAGTTTCTAAAGAATGTTCCTATTTAAAATGTTTTGTATCTTTATAGCGTTTTTAGATTATGACATTTGATTTCAGATTTGTATTGTTTTTACATATACTAACAATGAATATTGCTTTCGCACGACAATTTTAACTGGTAGATCTTTTCATTAACTTATTATTATAGAGACGAAATGGATCAAATATGACGGACATTGTTACTACTATAGTACTGAAACCAAAGACTGGTTTACAGCAGAGGTAACATTTTGAATACGTACGAATACATTTAGATTCCACAACTCCACCCACTTGTTTACGATATGTATCCATTCGAGATAGTTAAAATTGAAATACAAGGTTTACAGAGCATTCCAAAAATCGAAAGTTATCTATCGAGTGTGTACACATTGTAAAGTCAATGGGATAAAGGGATAGAATATGTTTGTTTGAATGGAAAATGTCATATTGATAACATGTTCCTTTCGTGTTTTCAAACTTTAAAATTTGAAATTTACCGAGCCTTTACAATTAAAAGTTTAACATCGCTTATATATTGCGGTCAACATATTGAATTGGTATAATCTTTTTGAAATTTGTATATGCTAGTAATTAAATGTGATCTATACTTTTTTTTATATATATAAATGAAACTTTTATTGAGGGAATAATATAATAATAGGATGAATTCATTAACAAATGAGGTAGTGATAATATGATAATAGGAAAGCAAATAAATCACAGAAAATCCCAAAACATGTGTAGATAAACATATGGTTTAAATAACTATCAAATGTCTATCTCAAAAGCATTAATTCGAACCAATTATAGACAACTTAAGCATAGATTTCTTATAGCTTAACCAATATCGTAAGGACAAAACAAATCATATATTTTATAGGGAAATATAAATGGTTTTCATGACTGAAGTTCTTGTTTTTTGCTATTGTTAACTTTAACTAGCATTAATAACTTTTAAAACGCTTTGTTTACATGTAATTATTCACTCGACCTGCTTATCGAAGTCATTTTCCTTACTTTTCCTTTGCAGAAAAGTTGTAGGGAAATTGGTGGATACCTTGCAAAAGAAGACAGCACTGATGAAAGAAATAATATTTATTCAAATGTAAACAAGAGTGAGTTTTATTTAGAATCAAGGAAACATTTTCACATCGAAACACATATAAATATTATACACATGTAGTCTAACTGGTTTTTGTTAAGACTTGATTAGTGATTTGCAGTTAAAATTCCAGAATTTCATTGTAACCTCACGATATACGTGTTCTATTTGATACTTATATAAATGATTAAATTTTAATAATTTAAATAAACAAATTGTAAATAAAAAAAAAATCTGATACGATAATTATTGATCTCAGAACATTCAAAACAAAAGAAGAAACATTCATAGGTTCATAACGAGTGAGAACTGGATATCGCTTGATACAAACTCAAGTTATATAATATCAATATAATAATAATCGAGCAGTCTATTATTACTATTTGAATTAAATAACAAGAGTAGATATCAAGAGTTTTGTATATTCTTGACGAAATCACAGATCTCCGTTGCCATGGGGAAAATATACATCGTCTGAACCTTTGAAAGTCATCAACAATCTAACGAATATCCAATGAAAATGTCGCAATATCGTTTCGAAATTCTGGAAAAATCAATCAAATTAACTCAATTTTTGTATCACTTTTTCGTTTCAAAATCAGTGCAGTGTGATACGAAAAAAATATGTTTCATGCAAGAAATAGATAACAGGCTACAATGATGAGAAATTGTCAAATATAATATAAATACAGCGTACTAACAGATTTTGATTGTAATTACGTTAAATTGCAACTGATTCTATTCATCTAGTCATAGTTTGATATTCGCACAGGCTATAACTACTGGATCGGTTTGACAGACTTAAAAGAAGGAGAATTCCGCTGGACATATGATCAGAGCAAAACTGAGGTTAAAAATTGGCATCCAGGTTATGGTAGCAAAGGAACAAATAACAACTGCGTGGCAACTAGCTATCATGCGAGTAAACTGAATTTTTTCGACTACAGTTGTTCTACCGAGTATCAATACATCTGTGAAAGCAACTTTTGTAAGTAACCCGATATATACGTTACAATTCTACGAAGCATATTCAACATGTTAAAAATTGCGTGTTTTCTAAATATTATAGTTTTCTGTGCTATGTGATCTTATAATGACAAAAATGTGAATGAACAACATTAACAAAGGTAAATAGAACTTGTATATTATATTTTTTTAATTCAGAATAATATTTATTTTGTGATTTAATTTAATCTGTAACAAACCATGTATTATATACTCGATAAATGTCGCGAGATAAGTATCGAATGACAGGCAAAATATTGTCTGGATAGGAAAGGGGAAGGAAGGGACAAGACATTTAACAAGAACAGTTTTTAATTCTGTGGATTTTTACATTTAAGAGGGTACCAATTTTGTGGATTAAAAACAAAAATGTATGGATATTGGATTTTATGGTTGTGTCGAAGTCTGCATACAAGCTCTTAGAAACATTGTTCTTCGTTAAACATTCACCTCTACCCATAAAATTCACAAAATGGTAATAATAATGAATCCACGATGACTTTAAAAATTGTCTCGTCCCTTCAAAACCAACTTATAAAGGTTAAACTAATTAACAAATCAAAACAAATACAATGAATAGTACAAGAAGACAATAGGCTTAGGAACTTATTCTACTTTAAAAAAAAGTTGGCCTGAAACTAGATATGAGCCAAAACCTTAGTTCCAATAACTTTGACATTCGACCTTTTATTTTCTTTTCCGCTTATTATATATAAATATTTTCTGATTAATTGTCGTTAATAACACACACTGTACCTATTTTACTGCATATGTGTGAGTGTGAAACAATTTTTAGCAATAGTTAGCACAAAAAATAGCCTATTTTTCAGACGTTTTTTCTTCATTTGTTTTAGGTTTCTGAGACTAAATGTTCTGCTGCAGAGTTTTAAAATCTTGATGACACAGAAATCCAAAGACGATTTTTCCTTAATAAATTGTTTCTAACATTCGTTTTTTATATGTTTTCCTGTGCGAAATTGAATAATTAGTCATGTTAGAACAATAAAGGTTTGTAATGTTATGTAACTATAACATTGTCGCCGATTTTCCTGTTCTCATAAAAACTACAAAACTAAACAGAAAATATTTACAATTAAAAACCAATTTTCAAAGGACCAATTGTGGGTCTTTTCGCATACGAAATTCACCCTTGTTTGTTATTGAAGATAAACTAAACTAGAATAAATTAAAAGATAGTAAAACAAATTATTGTTTATTACTACGGGGTTCGTAAAGACCTATTTAAGGACTGAACAACCCCGTTTTAGTATAACAACATCTGGTTCATTTCAAATTAAATCACCAAAAAGGGTAAATTTCGCAGATGTAAGGGCGTTGAATTGTTGTATGAACAATTGGAAATTAATTGCAAATATTTTTTGGTTTATAAAATAGCGGTAAAAATTGTAACTTGGAAAAAAAAAGTGACTTGAGGTGGAGAAAAAAGTTTATCTTACACAATTTCTAAAAATATATTAGTTACATGTATGTGTCGTTCTCCGAAATAAGGATATGGTTAGCTACTTCTGTGTTTTTTTGTTTTTGTTTTTTTTTAAGTCACTTCCATTGTTGTATGATAAATAAGAAACATATATGGTTTCTATGTACTTTTGCTTGAAATACAAAAGTTATTTGCTGCTTCCTGTAACTTCCGATGCCAGAGGTCATCTTATATTACACATGTTTCCATCACTCCACAAATTTATGGGTTGTTATATACTTTTGTTTGGAAATAGGGAGATACTTTGCTACTTCCGGTTTATATATTTTCACTTAAAGTTCATATAATGATTGGAAACTTTATGCTGATTCCGACGTTATATGGTTTCTATGTACTGTTGCAAGAAACAAGAGCAAAAACGGGAGCATGGATTTATACACGGTCACTTCCAGTTGGCCTTTTAAAACAAAAATATTTAAACAAGGAATCATTAATTTAAATATCCCAAGGACAATAGAACCTATGCATGTCAACTTTCACCATTATGTCCCGAACATTTGTTTTATTTCTTTTTTGTCTTTATCCTACAGTTCCAGTGTAATAGCAAGGGTCAAAATCTAGAACGTTATATCGGCATTCAACCATAAACTCAATTTAATGGTTATAGGTCATAGATCGCAAATGAAATGACCCCTCCTCTAAAATGCATAGTGAAGAGGTTATCATACCAAGCAGCTTATTATGAATATTTTTTGATGCGGAGAAAATAATCCTAAACAAAAGTCCCCACATTACATTGACCTGAAAATAACTTTTATGTTACAGGATTGTTTTGGTCCTATTAACAGATCATCTTGGGGAAATTACAAACGTTATGACAAAATATCTAAGCGATATCCTTTACGTTTTCTGAGTAGAAACGATTACACGAAATACGGTTTACCAGGGGAAAAGGGTGAGTTTCAAAAGCGAAATTTTTTTTGATTCATATACCTTGTATTTTATCCACATACAGCGAAACAAAAGTGACATACCAGAAACAAAGGAGGCAGAAGAACAAAATCAAAAGATCTCTCATTGGAAGTGTGGAAAGATCTATTAGTCAGTACAAAATCAAAAGATCTTTCCACAGAGAGGCGAAAAGGTGTGTGTGTCTTCCAAGGAAAAGCTACTATTATAATTTAATTAATTTAATATCCATTGTACAGAGAACAATTGAGGGTTCTTCCACTTGTAAATGTCATTTCAAGTGTTAAATTGCACCTTTTCTCTCATTGATTCCAAAAATCAAAGTTTGTGTTCCTTTTGTTTTAACATGAGGACACTGTCGTTTATTTACAGCCATTTCCGGTATCAAATAATAGCCGACTTTCAAAAATGTATGGTTTGGTTGGTTTTTTTTGTATGATTAAAGGAGTTAATTTATAGTTCTGGTTTAAAAAAATCACGTACGAATTCATATGATAGGTAACTGCACGCTGATTCAAAAAAATAAATGGTTTTAGGTTCTTTTATATTAAGTTACTTCAAACAGGCTACTTCCGGTTAATACCATGTCAGTTCCGTTTGACCTTTTTCAAAGGTATATATTATTCAACCTTATGCAATAGACGTGTTTTATGTATCAGTATGAATTTATTATAACATAAAACGTCAAAATGCCTTTTGATCCTGAACTCAATTTCAAGGTCAATATTCATGAATTTAAAATTTAAATCCTTAGGTCTCTACTTTGTATGGTTTATGAGTTATATCACCATACAGCTTATTTCAAATATTCCAGGGGAGAAAAAGTTTAAATTGTCGCCGTACCACTAAGACCTCAATGAATTGCAGTTACTGTAATGATATGTCTCATCTAACAGTTTGGAAAAATACATCTGTCGATATCTTTTACTGTTTTTTAGCATTCAGGATTCTACTTTGTCAAAATTGTCTCCCATTACCCCCACCTAATTTTTATAATCATAAAACTGGAAGCCATTGTAATGATGACGCGCTGTCAAATTAGCTCTTGAAAACCGATTAATTTATCCACTTAGCATCATTACGATACTTATATGCCAGTTGTATTATAAAAGACAAATGTATCTACTAGCAAACAATTTAAGAGGTTGACGACTAATGTCCCTAGATAATACACACAAAAATGAAGTTTTTTTTAAGTTACGCATTTTTAAGATCCATTTGTAAGGTCTGTCGTCAAGTACCTTTTTTTTAAATTTGCTATTCGAACACATCTACTCTGTTGTTGTGACTCAGTAGAAAGGTATTTCATATATTTCTTTTTGTAGTACTGTAATTTTTTTTACCTTTTTTAATAAATAGTTTCATTTCGTTTGTTTAATTCCAACTGGGTTTGCGCCTGTTAGGAGTATAGATAACAAGCAAAAATTTTAAATGTTATTATATCAATCTATAGCCTAAATATATTAAAAATAATAGAATCTGAAGCGAGATGATGTATCAAATATTTTTCTTTTATACGTTTGCAAGACAGAATAGTCAACTCAAACACGTGTGAACATAAAAAGGTGCATTCAACTTTCTCTTTTCGATAAATTATTGCCCATTTTGGGGATTTTTTCTCCAAAAACTGTCATTTGTGGCAGAGATGCAAATTAATGCTTTAAAAAGATCAATAATTTTTTGGGGATTTTTTTGCGGTGGTTTATGCTTATGCACAGAAAAGATCCGCGTGTATTTGTACCTACCACAATAGACTGTTTTTTGAAAATTTGTCTTTAATTTAAACGTTAACACATATCTCGAAGCTCCATACCTTAATTTTAGTAAAACCACATAAATTATATAAGATGCATAAAGTTCTAAATTAGGCACATTCATTAAACTTTTAAAGCCATTTAAAACAGATGTAAACAATTTAAAGTTACCAACTTGGCCTTTTTTACCTTCTTTAATAAATAGTTCAATTTCGTTTGTTAAATTAAGTCTCCCAAACGAAGTTTGGGAAGACTTATTGGTTTTGCTCAGTTCTTATTATGGCACCCTCAACGGAGTTGGGGTGACGTATTGTTATTCTACGTTTCTTTTTTTTTCTTATTTTTCTTCCACACATTTTGTCCGCGCGAGTTCTCGGAATCCAATGGACCAATGTTGATGGAACTCTACTATAATGAGGAACCTCATGTAAAGTTGTGCACCTTGCTATGGAATGGTAAAAATGGCCGCCGTTTCCATGGAAACAACAAAAATGCGAAAAAAATCAAAGTGTTCCAAACTGGCAGAAATTCCACAGGAATGGTTACTGGCATGTGCTGATTTGCAGTTTGACTTCGGAATTTTCAAAATGGCTGCCGTTACCATGGAAACATCTAAAATATCAAAAATTCTAACTCTTTCGTTATAAGACCCAACTGGATGAAACTTTATGAAAATGTTACCCAGTATGCTAAGATGTCAAGACAATATTTGGATAGTCAAAAATGGGCGCCGTTGTCATGAAAACTGGGAGCAAGTTTTACATTGACCCTATAGGAAAATGCATAAAATCAGCATTTTCTTAAAGAATATTTGACCAAAGTCAATGAAACTGTATTGATATATAACATGACATGTGGCAATGAGATGTCTGCTTTTAGAATTTTGGAATTATCCACTGTAACCATGAAAACAGCAAAAATGTTCAAAATTTAAAAAAAAATTAAAATGCTGCAAACTGGATGAAACTTTACAGAAATGGTAACTGGCATGGGCAGAGTTGCATTTTGAAGTTGGAATTTTCAAAATGGCTGCCGTAACCATGGAAACAGCAAAAAAGTTCAAAATTTCAAAATGCTCCAAACTTAATGAAACTTTACAAAAATGATAATTTGCATGTGTAGATGCACTCTTTGACTTTGGAATTTGCTAAATGGCTGCCGCTCACCTGGCAATGGGGGAATATCTTTTAAATGGTCGAGATCCCAACCCCGAAACCATATATATTCTGGTTTGTCATGATAAAGCACATCAAATGAAATACAGGGTTAGTCCCCAGGGGTCACCCCCACCCCTGCCATTTAAGAAAGTTCTAATATCTTGTAAGTGGTCAAGATCCCCACCCCTAAACCATATATTCTAGTTTGTCATACTAAGATGGTTTGAATGATATACAGGGTTAGTCCCCCAGGGGTCATCCCGACCCCCTGCCATTTGAGAAAGGTCTAATATCTTTTAAATGGTCGAGATCCCCACCCCTAAACCATATATATTCTGGTTTGTCAGGATAAAGCACATGAAATGAAATACAGGGTTAGTCCCCAGGGGTCACCCCACCCCCTGCCATTTAAGAAAGTTCTAATATCTTGTAAGTGGTCAAGATCCCCACCCCTAAACCATATATATTCTGGTTTGTCATGATAAAGCACATCAAATGAAATACAGGGTTAGTCCCAAGGGGTCATCCCGACCTCCTACCATTTGAGAAATTTCTAATATCTTGTAAATGGTCGAGATCCCCACCCCTATACCATATATATTCCTGTTCGTCATGTCTCGAACATTTGA